GTGAGACTCCCCACCATGTCAAGAAGGACCCTGAGCAGGTTTTTGATAAATTACTTTACAAGAAGGTGTCTTTCCATTTGTAAGAAATCCATGGAGGAGGTGAGAGAGCATAGGGGTTCACAATGTTTCAAGGGGTTTCTGGGGTGTGGGGGGGTGGGGACAGGGAGACGAAGTGTTCTGATTAATATAACTAATTTATCATATGGTGAGAATGTAGCCACATCTTCTTTGAACAGCTCCCCCAGAGGCTGGAGGAAAGAAGAGCTGAGAAACAAGATGGTGAGATAAGTATCACCTGAAGGAAAGTTCCTGAAACATTCATTGTTACTGGAGCTGAAAGTGGCAAAATCATGTTGGGGATTGATTCGCATGGCAGGTAGAAATGGAGGATTTGATTGAACAGCAGATCTACACCTGCAGAATGGATCAACTATAGCCAGGATCTTGTTGTATGCCTTAAAAGGAAGTGATACTCCTGTTGTACTCCATATTGGTGAGACCACAGCTGGCGTACTGTGTCCAGTTCTGGGCGCTGCACTTCAATAAGGACATGGAAAAACTTGAGATGGTCCAGAGAAGAGCCACCTGTATGATCAAGGACTTGCAAGGCATGCGATGTGAGGAAAGGCTGAGGGACCTGTGCCTCTTTAGCCTAAAGAAGAGCAGGTTGAGCAGGGACTTGATACTATATGATAGCAGTTAACCACTATGTCAGAGGAGTGCATCAGGAGATGGGCATTCGGTAGGGCACCCCCAGGGAAGACCAGGACCAATGGATATAAACACCTGGAAGGCCGCTTCAGGCTTAATACCAGGAAAAACTCCTTCACAGTCAGGGTGTCCAGACTGTAGAATAAACTCCCTCCAGAGGTGGTGCAATCACCTACCCTGGAGGTTTTCAAGAAGAGACTGGACAGTCACCTTGCTGGGGTAACTTGAACCCAGTTGTCTTCCTGCCTAGAGCAGAGGGCTGGACCCAATGATCTCCAAGGTCCTTTCCAACCCCTAACAATCTAGGAATATGTAGGTCCTACCTTCATCCTGGCTCCCTTAAACAGTTGTCCTTCCCTTCTTCAGACCATGAATAAACTGAGGACTCCCCTCACTGACAGAAAAACACTCTTGAGTGACAAGCCAACTTCAACCTATCCAATCACAGCATGAAACCCTTCCCTCCATTGGTAGCCATATATTTGGGAAGAAGAGGCTGAGAGAGGAGAATAGGTAAGGAAGAGAGAGTTATCAAAATACAAATGCATCTCTTTCCTCAGAACAGTGCTGCACAGAAGCAAAAAGTCTGGAGCTGTTAGTTTTAAGCCATATAAACAGGTGTCAAGAGGTAGACAGTTCAGCTTCCTGTGCAGTTTTGTGGGTATGGTTAACCTATCAGTCCTTAAGTTCCAGATGAGAAGATTGTGTGCGGGATGGATTGAAAAAGTGATCAGAAAGACATGTGTAGACCAGTATAGGATTGACCTAAACAATCTAAAGAGTCATTGATATGGTTTCATAGTTTCATAGTTTCATAGTTTTAGGGTCGGAAGGGACCTAATAGATCTTCTAGCCCGACCGCCTGCCGGGGCGGGAGAACAACAAAAGAACCCTAAACAAAAAACGGGACTCAAATGAGTCCAGCCAGGTAGGTATCCAACCTCTTCTTAAAGATCCCCAGGGTAGGGGCCAGCACCACCTCCCTTGGAAGTTGGTTCCAGCTCCTAGCCGCCCTAACTGTGAAGTAGTTTTTTCGGATGTCCAATCTGTACCTCCTCTCCATCAACTTGTGCCCATTACTCCTTGTTATGCCAGCGGGGGCTAGGGGAAACAGCGTCTCCCCCAAACCCTTCTGGTTCCCCCTAGTGAGTTTATAGACGGTCACCAGGTCCCCCCTCAGCCTTCTCCTGTGGAGGCTGAATAGGTTCAGGTCCCGCAGTCTCTCACTGTAGGGTCTGTCCTGTTGTCCCTGGATCATGCGGGTGGCCCTCCTCTGGACCCTCTCCATGTTGTCCACATCCCTCCTGAAATGGGGCGCACAGAACTGGACACAATACTCCAGCTGCGGCCTGACCAGCGTCGCATAGAGGGGGAGGATCACCTCCCTGGCTCTACTCGAGATGCACCTGTGGATGCACGACAAGGTCCGGTTAGCCCTGCCAACCATGACCTCGCATTGTCGGCCCATGTTCATCTTGGAGTCAATAATGACACCAAGATCCCTTTCCGCCTCCGTGCTCTCAAGTAGGGAGTTCCCCATCGTATAAGTGTGCTGCTGGTTCCTACTACCCAAGTGCAGCACCCTGCACTTGTCCGTATTGAAACACATCCTGTTCCTGTTTGCCCACCCCTGTAACCTATCCAGATCCTTCTGCAATCTCTCTCTCCCTGCTAGCGTGCTCACCTCCCCCCAAATTTTGGTGTCATCAGCGAATTTAAACAGGTTGCTTTCCACCCCAACATCAAGATCGCTGATGAAGAAATTGAACAGCGCAGGCCCCAGGACCGAGCCCTGGGGGACTCCACTACCCACCTCCCCCCAAGTCGAGTATGATCCATCCACCACCACCCTCTGAGTGCGACCCTTCAGCCAATCTGCAATCCATCTGACTGTGTAGGCATCTATGCCACAGTCGCCTAGTTTATTAATTAGGATGGGGTGAGAGACGGTGTCAAAGGCCTTGCTGAAGTCCAGAAAGACTACATCCACCGCGACACCTGCGTCCATGGCCTTTGTGACCTGATCATAAAAGGCAATCAGGTTGGTCTGACATGATCTCCCCCTAATAAATCCATGCTGATTGCCCCTGAGCATCATTTCTGATGCCGGCCCATCACAAATGTGCTCCTTGATGATCTTCTCAAAGAGTTTCCCCAGGATTGAGGTAAGACTGACGGGCCTATAGTTGCCCGGGTCCTCCCTTTTCCCTTTCTTGAAGATGGGGACCACATTAGCTACCTTCCAATCGTCTGGCACCTGGCCCAAGCACCACGATCGCTCGTAGAGCCGTGCCAGGGGCCCTGCAATAACCCCAGCTAGCTCCCTCAGCACCCGGGGTGGAGAGCATCCGGACCCGCTGACTTGAACGCGTCCAGCCCCTCCAGAAGCTCTCTAACCCGGTCCTCCCCAACCTGAGGTCTGAAGGAGATCCCCTCGCGTCTGGCTTCTATCACAGCAGGGAAGTCCCAGTCCCTGCACAAGAAAACAGAGGTGAAGAATTGGTTAAAGAGGTCCGCTTTATCCTCTGACGCAACCACCAGATTGCCCAGCATATCCTGCAGGGGCCCCACATTACCCGGTGCCTTCTTCATCCTCCCAATATATTTGAAAAAGGACTTTTTGTTATCCTTAATCCTGGACGCTAATCCGAGCTCTATATCCGCCTTGGCCTTCCTAACTGACCCCACAATACTAAAACAATATAGCAAATACATGGGTAAAGAAAACCAAGACTTTCATGAAGATAGGTGATGCCTTGTAAGATTTGTCATATACTGAAGTCATTTCCTGAAATCTTAATCAGAAATAAGAAAAATCATAATCTGTTTGATATTCCTTGATATCACATTAATATAAAACAATATCACAAGTACAGTCTATATAATATTTGAAGTTTAGGCAATTATACTTGGAGGCTGCCCCTGAACTACTCAAAAGCCAGTATATAGTTATCAGCAAGCAGCAAACATACCCTAAGAATTATGGAAGATTGAAACACCAGAAATGTAAAACGTATACAATAATTAAATCCCACAGTGTATTACTTAATAGATTACTTAAATACCACAGCTAATATTACTTAAAGAAAAATGGAGCTAAAACAATTATAAGAAGCATATGTTACATTTCTATAGCTTGTCCTTTCTTTCATAACAAGCTATGAACCATATAGACAAAGTTTTTTTTTAAAGTTATATATTTGTAAATGAAAATAAGTGTTTTCTTAATAAAGCAGGCAGTGATTGTATTTTATTCTTATTTCACAAAGGACAGGCTCAGCAACAATAATATTATGTGCACAGATGCACACAAAACATGCCCAAAACAAAAAATACCACACCAGCAACACACAAGGATTCTTTTTTTTTTTGTGAGCAGATTATAACAATACAACTTCCTGAAAAAGCAATAAGAGAAAAAAAAAATAACTTACATGTTTTTGCCTAAACTTTTATTCTCTAATAATGACATGGTGTCAAGATTATTAAATACAGGCAGTCCTTGACTTGCAATGTTTCAAGTTACAATGTTTCTCACTTATAACGTTTATAAATTGACACCCTGTTTCAACTTTATGACATCAGTTTTGACTTTACAACACTTGATCCTATGTGACACCACACCAGCAAACAAGTTTGCTGCATCACTCATCTCCTTGGAGAACAGCTGTCCAAACATCCTTGGACACTTTCTTTAAGAAAGCAGACAAAACTCCAGAAAAAGTAGCTAAGACTACTGAGAAGACTCAGCCAAGAACCTTTCAAAAAGTCCAACTGAGACCCTTTCAAAATGTCTGGCAAAGTCATCTCAATGAAGTCCTTCCAAATCAATATGATTGCTATTTACAATATAAATACATGGATGCAGCTATATTACTTATCTATAATTGACTGGGTACAAAATTCTGGGATATTTTTGGTGAAAATAGGGTATCGGGCCTTGGGTCAGGAACCAATCCCCTATCATAACATTGCTTCTCATGAGAAAATTGGTTCTGAGTTGCAAAGTTTCTACTTAAGATGAGGTTTTCAGGAACCAATTGTGTCATAAGTCTGAGGACTGCCTGTATAACACCAAGACTTTGGAGACTTATACAGATGTTATGATGTTTTGCATAGTAAACTGACCTGAATAATTTTGTTCATTGGCACATACTTCCTAAAGTTTACATTATTGGATTTTCTAAGAGTAAAGAATAAAAAAAACAAAAAAAACCCAACAACAACGAAAAACAGAAAACTTTTGCATAGCTTAAACTCAATAAATACTAAATGAAGATAAATCTTACTTGTGCAATTTGGCAAGGATCCTGACCATGTTCCATTGGCACTACACTGTCTTACAGAAGATCCAGAAAGTATGTAACCTTCCATGCAGGAATAAATTACTGAATTAGAAAATGTTGTTCCATCTATACGAAACACTTTCCCATTAGCAGTTGTTCCTGGGTTACCGCATTGCACAGCTATAAAAGAAAATGTTAAATGTATATGAAATGCAACAAAGATAGAAGTTTTTACAAAGAGTAGTGAAAAAGGAACCAGTTCAATGCCTTGGCTACCAGCAAAGTTCACGTGATAGAAAACTGTGCTGAAGGTCTAGGTTTCAATTTTTGCTGGTAAGGCATGATGGAGGGTCGTTATAATATGCATCTTTTTCCTTCCAGAGGGGGAAAGTTGAAAGTGATATTAAAACTGTCTATTAAAAGAACACCATGTAGGTTACAGAGAGAAAAGTACTCAAAATTAGAAAGCATCAGATATACAGATATAGCATCAAAACATAGATTTCATAGATTTCATAGACATTAGGGCTGGAAGGTACCTCGGAAGATCATCGAGTCCAGCCCCCTGCGCAAAGGGCAGGAAGTCAGCTGGGGTCATAGGATCCCAGCAAGAACGTGTCCATGCATGATAATACAGTCTAACTGGATGTTCATTTTCAGTCTTTTCCCGCAGGACCTCAAATCTGATGTTTCCTAATTTTAGAATATTTGTTTTTGCAACCTAAACAGTATCCTTTTAATAAAGTTTTATAATATATATGATTAGTGCTAAGATGTGTTATGGGGTTATGTGCATACCTACAAGAGGATTTCCAGGCTAAGTGGTTTATAGCATATTTGAAATATCTGGAGATTTAAATAACAGATGTTGAATCAGATTTATAGCAAAAATGATCAACAAATAAAGACTGGAAGCTCAGATTAGCTAATTGTGTTCACATAAAGATTAAAATTCAGATAGCAACTGCCTGGCCAAAAAGACATTAAAGTAAGTTTATAAAACAAGTAGCCTCTTTTAGAGATTACTATCTCCTACTGAAAAAGTAGTCCATAGTGGTAAAGTGAGCAGTAAAAGAAGAAACTTCTAAATTGTCTTCTGCTATTCAGAAAGCTTTTCTCTCAAAAAAGGTCTGTTGGGAATTATTTCCTATTTGTGAAATCAAGGTAATTTAGGTAACAAATGGTTTCCCATAAATATCCTGTTAGATCTTGTTTTTATGGTAATAAATCTTGCTCCATAATTCTATACTTGCTCCACAATTCTATACTGCTTTTTTTAAATAACTGGTTTCAGCTTTTTTTTTTTTTTTTTGGTGAAAACTAATAGCAAGTAAAATGCATTAGTAAATACAATTAGTGGGCTAATCATTTATGACAAAAGTTTAAAGCAAAATAGTGAAAATGTCATTTCTCCAAAGAGAGCTCTTTCTAATGGAACTCTTAGTAATTAGAGAAGAAATGAAGTAGGAAAACATTTTTTTTCAGTAGACAAAGTAATTAAAAAAAAAAAAGCTTGATTCTGGTTGTCTATTTTTAAGTAGAAAAACAGAATTATCAAGTAGGAATAAAAAAAAAAATCTGAGGGTGTGCACAGCAGATTGTTGTACCCAGTTTATGTTTGGATGGCTTTATTCTCACCTGAACATAGACTGGGAATGGCACATACAGCCATTTGTCACTTCTAGGAGCTACATGGGGAACCCAATGTAAGTAACATAGTGTGAGGAGAGGGGTGAGTGGGATTGAGGGAGGTGGCTCGACCACGGGTGGGGGGAGGAAGGGATTGGTGGTTGCAATGTGGGCTGGCAGGTCTGCGGGGAGGCTAGGGGGAGTGTTGGTAGATCCATGGGGAAGGGCTAGGCTAAAAATAGCCCAGTTAGGGTCAGAGGGTGGGAGTAGCACAAACCCAGAACTGGGACAAGCAGCTAGTCTTTCCCAGCCCTAGGGCTGCACTGCAAGCACATGCAGGCATTCTGGAGATTGGGTTAACCCTTTCTCAAGCTAAATTAGATTGAGGTGAGCTGGCTTAGATTGGATGCACCATTTTTTGGGTAATGTAAGCCCTCTGAATGCCTGCATGATTGGGCATTTAGATCAATGTAACCTTGGTTATATCAATCTAAATGTCACACCTGTACATACTCTGATTGTCCAGAATGCTGAGAATCACCTTGCCTAGCTAATTGCCTTGCTCATAGTTGTTTACTGCCATACATGAAAGGATTGGGTTAGTCCAATATCTTCTGAACAAATGCCCACATCACAAATTCTGTGATATGAAATTTGTATTCTTAGAACTTTAGCAGAAATGGCAAGATTCAAGAACTATTAAAAATTAGGTACTGTCTCAATGCTAGCTGTCTCTCCAAGTCAAAGCAGAGGTGCATTAGTAAGCTAACAAGAAAAAGACATCTCCACTACCTGTCCTGTGTATAAGATGCTTAGGTGCCAGGATAACTTTTCATGTATATTAATGTGTATATTTTAAAGTGAATGTAAATACAACTTTCTTTTTTGATTTACCTTTGCACTCAGGCTGTCTTCCTGTCCATGTTCCATTTGCTAAGCATGTTCTTTCTTCTGAACCATGCAGGATATAGCCAATATCACAGCTGAAGCGTACAGTACTTTTAATTTTAAAATCACTGTCTTCTCTAGAACCATGTCCTGGGATTCCTGGATCCCCACAAGAACCAGATGTGTCACCTAGAATTTATGGCACAAAGAGTTTAGTGTGAATATAACATTTGATTGTACTATGCTACTATATTTTATTGGAAATGCTGAGAGGTGTCTGTGTAAGGCACAGGGGGCAGGGGAATAATCCCTGCTTAGCAGAAAGTGGGAGTAGAAGAGGGAAGCAGGGGAAAGCCAGGCAGACACCTGCAGTCTTTGCTGACCTCCAGCGAGGGAGCAGAGGGGAGGGGTCAGCTCTGCTGTACAGCAGGGAGCCTTGCCCAGCCCAGAGAGCATGTTGGGATGCTGAGGGAGTTTAACTTAAACCAGCAAGGGGTCTGGGACAGACATTTCATAAACCAGTTTGACCCAAATCAGTTAAGTCTAATACTACATTCAACCAGATTTGTCTCAAACCAATTTCAGACATTTTCAAACTGGTTTATGTGCACTAACTGTTCTGTTACAGGTTTAAACTAGGTTCTAATCACTTAAGCTGGTTTATGTGTAATGTCTGTCCCTAGCCAAAGAGTAAATCCCTATTTATTTGCTTCCGTTTGTATATATTTCCTAATGAGACTTCAGTAAAAACTTCATATTTTAATGCTGTCATTGGAATGGCGACACTATCCCTACTGTGTATCATTTTTAGTCAGTGCTAAAGTCACTAACATAGTCTTAACTCCAGTTGGACCAATGAATTTCCATAGTTTATAGTAGCATTAACACATCACTTTGACCTAAAAGACAATATTCTGAATAAAATCTTACTGCAGCTGAAGCTCTATTTTTAATGGCCAAGCTTAAGTTGCCTGGATTGTTAGTTTGGTTATATCACCCACTTTTGTCTGTCTTGTCTATTTCAATTATAAAGTGTTTAGGGTAGGTACTACCTATTATTCTCTGTCTGTACAGTACCTGGAACAATGGGTACTGTTCCCACCTGGTCTTAAGCAGCACCCTTTGCAACAGTAATTGTAATGTGAATGCAAGATTTTTTTGTCATACTAAAGTATGAGTTAAATGTTTTCCTTTGTAAATTAAGTCTATTCTGTTATCCAATCTGCTCCATAGTTGTTACGACAGACAAACATAAATGTATTTGTTAAACCTATTGAGGAATGATCACTCTTAAATCCAAGATAAGTTAATCACCAGCCATTTTGATGGTATATTAAAATGGACTAGCAAAAATATGCTATACTAATGACTACCCATGCAATAATTGTGGTATCAAGTCAGTAATATTATAGAAAACAATCTCTTTTTTGTCTTCTATAAGGATTCAACTTAAATGCTTTTCTTGGTTTACTTACTGACCATCTCCTCTCCCAACAGCTGTACAGAATATTTCATGGCCTAACTCCACTTATGACATGACAGTTAAACTAGGACAATATTTGACTCTCCATTTTTACTGGGGTATGTGGTAAAGTGGGGCTCCCTGCCTAGCCACAGTGCTAGGTTCCCCACTTGCCTTTGGGCACACCACCCACCCGACTCACCTGCCATGCCTAGTTCTTAATTAATTAAGATATTTATTAAGGCGGGAGCCTGCTCATTCTTGCCCCAATGCCAGGAGGGCGCTATCTGTGTCTCCATACCTCCCCTACACTGCAGCCCATGCCTCGCAGTAGTACACCCAAAGGTGTGTAGTAGTACACCCAAAGATGCTCTGCCACATACCTCCCCACTTAGAATGAGATCTGGGGGCTTCACTTGACTGCCTTCCCTGCTGGGCTCTGCCCCAGCCTACTGCAGCCCCTGCCACATGGCGAGCACACCAAAGGTTTTCCTCCACAGGCTTATTGAAGTCCACATCACTTACTGAAGGGCACTGACAGACGTGAAACTCCCAGCACTAACTCATTGCACTTCAGAGAAAGTGTCATGAATTAGAGGAACCCCTGCCCCCACCAAACCAACAGACATTCATAATTGGGTCGGTGGGGTGGAGGATTGAGCTGTACTTTGGAGCTGATCCAGGAAGAGCTGCCTTTCTGCAGCTTCTCTCCCAGAGCCCTGAACCCCACTCCCAGCTCTGGTGCTGTCTGCAGGATGGGAAGGGGAAGAAGGGAGAGGAGGAAGCTGTGGGATGGGGTTTGCCTAGCCTGAGTTGGAGAGAGGCAGAGGATTGGACCCCCCCTCCCCCCACCAAGAGGGAGGAGTATTTTGATGTAGAATTTTTGTTTCATCCAGTATAGTAAAAAAGGAGCTGTAGTCATTGCATATCTAATCTGTAACCCACTGCAAACCTCACAATGCCAATACAGAACAATATAAATTTCTGTCCTATAAAACGCTGGTTTCATTTTACTGTAGGCACTGATGTGATCTGTGCACTTCCTATGCATAAACATATTTTTTTTTAGAAAAGAACTTATATATTTATTTGTTTATATTATTTTTTAGCCTAAGCCTTTTGAACAAATGTAATATCCACATCACTGAGATAGCTTTGTGTTCACTAAGGTGTGGGGAAATTTGTAGCTGCACCGATGCTGTATATTTAATAGTTTTAGGCTTTGTGGATTGGTACTCTATACCTCAATTTGAAGTCTGGAGTACTGAATATATATCACATGCAATACAGGGTTTAAAAAAAGAAAAAGAACCATATATACTGGTTTTAAAATAAAGTTTGAATCTAATCATATTTTCAAAAGTTGGAATCATATTATTTTACACTTAATTGTCCTTTCCGGTTCATCATTTTAGACATTATAAACTATATAAAAAAACACTGAGTCATATCCCACTGAAGCCTGTACCAAATCTCCCAATGAATTCAGTGAGAGCAGGATTAAGCAGGCTTCCATAAGCCTGCCATTACAACATAAATGTTGATTATTCATTTTGGCTAACTTCTCATTTAGTTCTAATGGACGAGGTAACAACATGTATCTTTATTCCTAGCAAAAATGTGATGTTTCTTAAGTGAGGGAAGATCAGTCTCTAAGCAAATTCTTCTGCTTTGTTGGAATTTTAACAGCAGGATCGACACTAAAAATGTTAAATGTAATTATTTTTTATTTCCATTAGAATAATACTAACTAACACTGAGACCTTCCTGTATTACGTGCTATACAAATGCATATTCAGAAGTAGTGTCCCTGACATGAATAGTTAACAGTTTAAATATTCTAAACTGATAAATTATAGGAGAAAGAAAAGGATATTAAAAGCCATGCTGTAAAGACAGCTACAGTTTTGGCAGAAGACCATGATGACAGCAGTGCCATACTGGCACGCACAGTTACTTTCTATCCCTGATTTCTGTGTAGGAATGACTCAGGAGACAATGTGGTTTTGGCTTCTTCCTATTTCCTGAATGTTAAAATAGCTGAGTACTTATTATTAAAGTAATACATATCTGAAAATGTGCCAACTGAAAAGTATTGATCATTGTACACCTATGCACTGAAAGCATCATGTTGACAGCAAGGAAATCATACTCTTGTCATGTTGTTAAATATAATATAACTCTGCCAAGATCAGAAATGGGCCTCAACCCCAAACCACTGATCAGCGAGTGGCATAGAGCTGTATTTTAGATACTCCTGAAGTTTTGGGGGTTCAAAATTAACACGACAATTTTGTGGTTTGATGCCACATAAAATAACATACTGATTATCAAAAAAAAACAAACAACATCGCATCCTTGAAACAAGTTATGGCACATGAGGCTATATCAATAGGGTAGATGTGATGTGTAGTTTAGACTCAAGAGCTGCATGCAGACAAGCACAGACATACAGTATGTGGTACTGCAGACCTGTCTGCAGAACTACACGCTGTGCATGCAGGTTTTCCCCAGGCTGCTAACTTACAGCACATGGGGGGGGGCACAGTTTGACTCCGGGATCTCCCAGGTTCAAAAAACCCATTCTCAGAAAAAGCAAGGCAGTGCACATGGCAGCAGCATGCACCACCGAAAACCAGAGCCTGGCCAGCTGGAGCCACACTCTGGATGCTGGCTAGGCTTCCTGCTGCAGCTGAAGCTCCGGGAGGCCCCCAGGTAAGTCTTTTGGGGCTAGCACAGTTGCTGGTCCCAGCCTCCCCTACCTCATCCAGGGTAACCTGCTATGCGCCATAGCGCATGTAGCACAGGCATTCCCTGGGGACAAGTAGTAGTGGTGCAAGGTGTGCCACTACTTGTCACTGGGGAAACAAACAATCCATGCTTGTCTGGATGTGCCCAAGGACTATAGTATCAAATCTCAAGTTCAACAGTGTAGGGTCATGGCCGGGTGCTTAGGGCAAAGTGGAACTGGTGACTTCCAGTTTGCCACTGTAAATAAACAGCTTTCGAGAAAATTGCCCCTAACATCTTCCTGCCACCAGTTACACCACTGCTCAAGTAATTTTGAAGCTAAATAAGTTTGAATTCATTATCTTAAGGAAGTAACAATGTGGGGGGTCTTTCCATGGAAACCAATATCCTTGTCAGAAATTAGCATGGATTGAAATTCTATGTTCATGGCCAACTAGATAGTTGTCCCATTCTATGGACAAAGTACTAAAGTTATTTTATTACCTCTGCCATTTAGATAAATAATCAGGCTCCTGCAAAAAACCGTGCAAGTTTAATCATTTCAAGATCACATCATGTGACACAAAAGTGGTACCTGAGCAATGAGGCAGTGACCCACTCCAATGTCCATTTAGTTGACATGTCCGAGATGACTGGCCTACTAGTGATCGTCTTCCGGTGCATGTATAATGAACAGTAGATCCAAAGGAATACTTATCTCCAGACAGGACCATGTTAGGAGGAATGCCAGGATGGCCACAGTCAATCACTACAATGCATAATTATTGGAGATAAAGAAATATTATTATCACTGATAAATTTTTAGCACTTCCAGTATCGTCATATTTTATACGTGTCCTATGTTAGAACTTGAATTGCATTTATATTATTTTACGAAGCATACAAAATAGACAAATAACTAGATATTACACACACACACACACACACACACACACACACACACACACATACATATAAAGATATTCCTTAGAGTAGGGACATTCTGTTTTGATGGAAGTGAGCTTTCTGCTAGGACTGCTGTTCCACTAAAGAACAAATGTGCCTGACATATAGTACATACTCACTGACCAACAAATCATTGCTCAAGATGCCATGATACTGCTCTTTCTAGGACCTAGAAGAGAGGCAGTGAGAATTTTTGCCCATGCATCCTGGGCTAAACTACACGTTTTCTGTCACATGAACCAAAACCAGAACGAGTGAGTAGCCTCTATAGTCATACACGTGAGTTGGTATGTTTTGACAAACAAATTGTTTATCAACAACAAAACAAAACAAAATATTGTCAAGATCTAACTTCTAGGTAAGGTACATTAGCTGCCCAGAAAAGCAACGACATGCTACCTATTCCTAAACTCACAAAAGTACAAGAAAAAGCTCCCATTAGCCAGCATAAAGCAAATTAACACTGTAATTCTCATTTCAGCTTACTTTTCAACATTATAATAAAGCTGAAACCAGTTTTATTTTGTGATATGTGCTTAACTGTGTGGGTTGCAGAGAGTGAAACCCCATAAAAATTCAACTTCATATTCAATACTAGTAAAGACCTCTATTTTTTACAGTGTAGAAAAGAAGGTCTCTTTAACATGATGCAATTGCACTCATAACAACAAAGAAAGGATTTGTAAATAATTAATCTTAATTTCCTGTTCCTTTTTCTTTTAAGCATGTAGAAAAATCTTATGAGAAGCTCTTAAGGAAATTGGTCAAAATCTGTCTAGAAACATTATAACTACGTGGTTATAATGCAAGAACTACATTTTAAATCTTGATGCAACCATTACTAGTTTTAGCAATCGTATATACTGACAAGTTTTAAGAAAGTCATGGGCAACTTATGTAGTTTAGCATAGCAGGCAGCTATTCAATAAGAATAAAATAAAAAGACAAAATGCCTTATGCATCATTATGGTAAACATTATCCACATGGATAATGTATGTCAAGAAAATAACGGTCTTCCCTGTAGTGCTGAAAAGAAATTAAAAAGGCTATTGGGATTTTGAAAAAGGGAACATTTTCAAAAAAGGTTTAATTATTCTTATATTTTCTAGTAGCTGAGCTGGTGGGGCTGAGAATGTGGGCCTTTGTTAAGATTTCAAGTATATGCCTGCACCATACATGACTATGTACTTGTTAAAAAAGCAGCAACAAAGTTAGAAACCTAGAATAAGGGTTAAGTATAAAAGAAAAGAAAATATGCAAAAATGTGAAAGTGTACAACTAAGCCACCAAAGCTAACTTCATTTGATTCCCACAACAATTTTAAGCCTGCATGTTCCCTTCCACATTTCTGCTTGGTGAGATACGTTGGTTCAAAGACATTTTTCTAAGCATCTTATGAAGCCTTCAATTGAAAGCCAAATGCTGGAATAACCACTACACAGATTCAGGGAACCTGTCACTTCCTTTCTCCTGTGCATCACTTCTACCTTAATAGTTTAAAGAGAAGTCTTCAGTACACAGTTGTGGACTTAGCAGGTTTGAAGAAGACTCTGAAAAGTCTTAATGCTGAAGTTGTATATAACAGAGTTTATACACAGCACATGACTGATGCAAAGGGTGATGATTGAACACACACTAATATTTGCTTGCTGTAAGTGCTATAATTTAAGGATTTCTGTCTTGGAGTCTTGCACTTGTAAGTAAACTAAGTCTGGGTTTAATGACGTGTATAATAGTTAGCATGGGTTCCATTCTGTAAGCTACTGAGCACTCCTGTTCCAATACAGCAAAGCATTTAAGCATATAATTAGCTTTTAGCACTTGAATAGCCCATTGATTCCTTTGACTACTTTAAAGGGCTGGAAGTTAAGCTTTTACACAGCCATATTTCTAGATAAAGGCTAAAACGCTTAGTGTCGTGCATCCAGCCCTTGATGCAGATAAATGAAACTGCTATTAATATATTTATTTAATCACACATCTATAAAATGATCCTCTTCTGTTAACTGTATATGGCTATATAAAAGGTCCAAACAGGATCATAAATAAGTATGAGGCATTTTGATTATGTGACTAATGATCAGACAAAGCTATTTATTATGAATGTTTAGGGTTGTGTCAGAGTTTCTGGTTTTCCTTTCTCCTGAGACAATACTATGAAAGCAGGTAAGCTCATGTTAGTCTCCAAACTATTTATTTTCATATGCTTGAGTATCCTTTACAACTTACCTTAACTCTGAAATTGATGGTTCCATGGATTGATCTAGGATTTTGAAAAGCCGGGGGCAGACGATGTGGTTCATCATTGTACATAACATAACACGTTTTTCTCCAATTAAAAAGATACCAGACACTCTACTAATAAACTAGGAACCTAGGTACACTAAGGGCCTAGAGTTATTTTATTCAGTTTAAGATCAAAGCAAAAACAAATATAATTTTACTGGCATGTGCATGTATAAAAGTTTATTGGAACAAGTTGTATAGTTTAAAGGGCTGTTGGAAAAGGTGACTTGATGAAAGGCCCAAAAGTTTGTCCAACAGCTCTCCCAATGTACATCTGGTCCAGTACACGGTATCACAAAAAATCTTTGCCTCGTGACACGAATAGTGAATGGGAACATGACTAAAGGCTATAAGGTGAGGAACTGCAAGAAGCATTGCAAGACTGTAATGAAGAGGGCAACGGGGATGTGGTTCTGGGACTTTAAAGTGCTGCCTTTAAAGTCAAGCCAGAGCTTTTGCTGCTACGTTCTTTGTACAGCTGCAAGGGGTTGGGTGCAGAGTGCAGCTGATCATGAACACTGAAGAGCTGCATGCTGAAAGACATGATTCAGAAATTTTGGATGCTTAACCCATTCCCGGCCGGCTTCAGAGTGGTAATTTGCTCCCTCATTGCCACAGCAGTACTGGCCACATAAGGGGGGGGGGGGGGGGGCACAGGGGATGGGACTTATCCCTGGAGCAGCATGTGCCCCAAACCCCAAGAACCCTGTGGGCTCCCCACCCCCTTTAAATCCCTCCATCTGCCCCTCCACCTCCTCCCTCCACTCATTTTCTTTTTATCAGCTTGCTTCTCCCCTTCCAGCCCAGCCTGACATTGTGCCAGATACATCAGGCTCCTTTGGTGCAGCTGCCGACTAGAGCAGGAATCAAAGAGGGGTGCATCTATGTCATTGCAACTCCTCTAGATCAGGCCCTGCCTGGTTCCTACTGGCTTCATTTGAAAACTGCATTAGTTCTGTTATCTATGCCCTTTACATTGCCTCTAAAACGTCCAAACTCTAATTCCAGTTTAACAAATAATCTTAAGTGAGAATTTCCTCAGGTTTGTTTATGTTAGATATTTCTTACGTTCCTTCTTTTCCCTCTCCTCACTGCCAATTTTATCAACCACTACTTCTCTGCCTCTCTCAGTTAGTTATGCTAGCTGGTCCTTTTCTATCACTTAACTGCATGGTGCCTTTTTATAGCTGTATAAAGCTGATTCTGTATTAAGACAGACAGCTTGGAACAGCTTTAAGGAATACAGCACAAAGAAGGAAGAATAAGGGGGAAAGAATTACCTTGTTATAACACTTAAAAATTGTGATAAAATGGATGTTACCATTATTATTGCCAGTCAATTCCTATTAGATAAATTCCCCTCCTGTCTAACTGAAAAAATGAAGTTCTATGAGAAAAACATACAAATTTCTCTTTTCCTATGGAGGCACATCTATTACGATTAAAATAGTTTAATGCATATTAAACTATAGGATATAATTCCTATTGCTAACTATATAACACAAGCAATTCCAGTGAAGGGAGTGGTAGAAGTGTTCATCCTAAACTGATATTCAGGATCTAAACTACCTGTCATAATTCACCTTTATAAAACTGGAAAATGACTTGGACAGCCTCTAACCTGGTGCAGACTGACCCTCCACATCTTAAGTAAAAGACAAATAATCTTGAGAAGCACATCAAAAATTTGCCAGTGGAAATTTATCTCAACTCCAAACTAACATTAACATCTAAGCAATCAATTACAAACAGCTAGGGTGGCTACACTGAGAAGTGCGTGTTGAACTACAACTATAGTGGTTAGAAGGAACTCAGTTCAGTTGGGGCTGCTCTCCCTTTATAAGCTTGATGCAGATTGGTCAGGTCAGGTCATATCACTAAATTTGCCTTTTATCAAATGGAAAGGTCATGGTTGGTTTGAGGGTTGTGCTCACTCAGAACATAGGTATAGGGGCTCGGTTCAAATCCAGTGCCAACAAATATCCACCTGAAATGTCACATGAAGGCAGCTATGTTGGCTTCTGCAATCCATCTGGAGGAGGACTAAGTATTTGAGAGTGTCACTGCTGAGCACAACAATGCTGCCATGTAGATACTGCTTCAGGACTCATGCACAGATCCAACCAGCAGCAAGACTGCAATGCCAAATGCATGAAGTGTCTGGGCACCCAGTTGCGGAATATCTAGGTATGCTCTCTTTTTGTGCTTTTCTCCTGGCACAAATGCAATCAATGTCTGTACATGGCAATACTGACTGGCAATATTGATTTGACCTATTTATTCGTAAAATAAAACATAGAAATGGCTTTTATTGTTTGAAAAAGCAGCAAAAGAACAACAGTACATATTTTTTAACACAATACTTTTGCCTATATCATCCCACCAGAAAAAAGTAGAAAACTAGCCAGTATATCTTGCATTCTTACTCCATGAGATCAATATATGCCAAGGTAGAAACTGTTTTATTAAGAGGCCTTAAACAGCTCCCCCCCAAAAACGTGGTGGGGTTGGGGGGACGTATTCATATGGAAAGGGGGAAAATCCATTGCAGTTTTACATTCTTTTGTAGTATATTTAAGACAGTATTTATTATCTGTATTATCAGTATTTATTTATTAGAGTGTTCTGAAACTGTCATAATACCTTACAGTTGGATGCAAAATATTTGGATACTGCAAGATAAATGTAACTGAGTTGCAAAATAGGAACAAACTATATCAAGAATAAGATAAATTTCTGGTCATTTTAAAAATTAAAAGAATGGAATATTTCAAATTGCAGCACCAGAAAAATCTTGCCTAAAGGATAAATAATAAAACCAGGCTTTGGAAGTAACATCTAAATTATACGTCTATTGACAAAAACAACCAAATTAAAGTTTTTTACCATGCTTTCTTTCTCTGCTTTATTACATTGTAAATGTTAGGCCCCACACATGAGATAAATCCTCATTCCAACACAGGTCTTGTTATATGAAGTTACAAAAGTGTTGGAGAAGCAATTAGGAGCTTACTTGAAAAATTGTTCAGCTTCCATGAGGCTGTTTCCACGGTTTTAGAAATGTAGCTTGTTTGAATTGCAACATGCAGCTGCCCTATGGCCAACAGATTAATATAGTAAAAAAATCTAAAGGCAACTCCCTTTCTCCCAGACAGCCGTTCTGTTAACACAGAGCGCTGCTCCTGATCATTGTTCTGAGGCATGATTCTCCTTGAAGGTCCTCTCAAGGGCCGGCCATTTAATTTTCTGTATGCCACAGACCTGTGCTATCTCTCCTGCCAATGCAGCCTAGTTATCACATACATTAAAATGGATGTAGGTATGATCTGTGTGCCTACATAGAGAGCAGAATACTGTATAAAATAAAATCAATACAAAAATCCATTATAAAATATCTAGCCCAAATTTTTCTTTTCTTATATTTTTTTGTAACTTTAATAGGGGGAAGAAAACACATTATCTACTTACTAATGCATTCAGGTAGAGGCTTATCCCAGTGACCATTTGGCTGGCAGATTAGAACTGAAGATCCAAATAAAAAATATCCTGGGTTGCAATCATAAAACACCACTGTGCCATAAGTGAAATTTCCATGTTCTATTTTGCTTTCCCGTATGGAATTAGCAGGGATTCCAGGATCTGAGCAGTTGACCACTGTGCAAAAAATAACAAAAGTGGAATTCATATTTAGGTTTTACATACACGCACACATTTTTATAAGTATATTTCTTTAAAAATGCCTCAGATACACACAGTACATTTAGGCAGTATCTCTTCTCCTGAATGAGTAGCTGGGATACTAACTCAGATGAGGACTCGTGGGCAGAATCTCAGTTTAGATAAGATAGACGTGATACAAGTAGGCTGAAACAATCAGAAATGATATCTCTGTTGTCTTTACTAAAGGGGGCGTTTCTTGATTTGAGATATTTGGTTGGTTCTTTTGGGTTCTTGTCTACCCCTTTGACTCCCATTTTGGGGATGTACCCAAATTCTGAAGAATTTATCAGAGTTTCCCATGTTATTATTGTTACCTCTCAGCTAGCTTGCTTCAGTGCAGTCTATTTAAATCTACTGGTGAAGAACCCTTGAAGTATGTAGTTTCTGAAGAATTATGCTACCCATGCATACCATCCTATTAAACCTGAGGCTCTGGGATATGCTTTAGATTATAAATACTAGCAATCCGTTCCAGGTCCATTTTCCAGAGGAAAATGCAGAAGCTCTGTTCACTCTGCTAGTTTTTTTTGCATACACTGTTGC